ACCCGGAGGGCCAGCCCCGGGCCCGGCTGACGCTGCCTGCTCACTCTGCCTGGAAACCCCGCGGCCTCAGGCGAGAGTTCCGGCCCCGAGGGGCAGAAGGACGCACTCACGACCTCACAGCGGGTGCTGGGCACCTCCCCGCGTCACTGTGCACTGACAGGTCGTCCGAGCCTCCGCCCCCACGTGGGCAGCCGGTGCAGAGGGGCGGGGTGTCCCCCGAATGCCCCATGTCCAGCGTCCAGGACGGAGGGCGGGCAGCGGGGTGTCTCCTGGCTGAGGGTCCCTGGCCTCCCCCCCGAGGGGCCACAAGAAGGCAGAGGGTGGCCCTGGCCGTGGGGTCCCCGCCAGCTCAGAGTCCCTCACACTTGCCTGTCACACCTGCCATGGAACCAGGGCCGCCACCCTCTTGTCACCACGAGCTGCCCCCGCCCCGGGTTGTGGACTCTGCTCCCACGTGCTGCCCCGTGGGGCCCCGTGTGGTGTGTGTGCCGTGACCAATGAACCGCCCTTGATCCCGGCTGTGCAGCGTCCAGTTCCCGGCCACTCCGTCACCGGCCTCACCCCGGGGCGGGCAGCAGCCCACTCACGCTCTCGACGCCCAAAGGCACAGCCTCCCCTGGGGACGGCGGCGGAGGGGCCGTGCAGCCACGCGCTCCCCGGCTGTGTCCTGTCTGCTCAGCGGCGGGCGACCCCGCCCAACCCTGGCTCCCCTGCCTGGAGGGCGGACGGCCGGTCTCCTGCCCAGAACTGGGTGGGGGACGCAGTGGGGAGTCACTTGTATCGAGGCAGAGAATTAACATCACCCCGACGCCGGCTGCTCCCGGGGGCCCAGGCTGCACGATTCCATCCGGGTCGAGCCTGGCCCCCTCCAGCCCCACCCGCCGCCCCCTAACTTGGCTCTTCACTTGGCTCTGAGTTGACCGTGAGAACGTGAGGCTCCCCCGGAAACGGACCAACACCCCCGCCCAGCAGGGCAGGCTGGGCTCGGGGGGTGGGGGGCGCGGGGTGGGCTGCCGGGCGGAGCCGCCACTGCAGAGGACCGGGGTCAGCAGCCATAGACATAATAGCGGGGTGGGGGCGAATCTGGGCGTGGGGACCCTGAGGAACCAGCGGGCACTTTTGACAGCAGAACACGTCCAGCCTTCTCTTGGTCTGAGTAACACCCTCAGGGAGTTAATACTGCAGCCCACAGGGGTCCCGGGAGTCAAGGGGAACACGAACCGGAGGAGCAAAGAAGCTGCGAGCGGCCTCCTCGCTCGGGGCGGTCGCCCAGCCTCAGACACAATCCCAGGAACGCGAGTAACAAGGACAGCAATGAGGCTCCTGCCTCGCGGAGCTCGACGCGGGAGAATTGGCGCGGGAGGACCATGTAAACCGCTCCGACCTCTCGGCAGGGCGGTGTCGCGAAGTGTGTCAGTTTTAAAAGGTGTGTCTCGCCGAAGACAGCCAAGGCGGCGCAGAGCGCGGCGGGGGGCCCGGGGCTCAGGACCTGCTGGGGGCGGCGCCGTGGTGGCGGGGGACAGGCACGCGGGAAGCCCAGACAGAACAAAGGAGCAGCGTCTGCACACAGCCACACGGAAAAGACGCGCGGGCTTTGGGACCTGGGGGTGACCCGTCACGCGATTTGCGACGAAGGGAGGCTCGCGTCTCCCCGCAGTGAGGGAAGCTAGATGTTCCGTGGGAAAAAGAAACAAGCGTCAGGCACACACGGACGCAGGGAGGGCAGGACCCCGGGTCACGTGGACCAGAAGACAACCACGCGGGGACGACCTTCGTGACCTCGGGCGAGGCCAGGCCCCGGCCCCGCCCACAGAGGCCGTCAGGCAGGAAGGAGGGGTTGAGGGGCTGGGCTGCATAAACATTCAAAACTGCATCTTCCCAGGAGGCACCCACCGCGAAAAAGGCAAGACCCGTCAGAGAAGGTGTCCGCAAAGCACGCAGCCAACAAAGCGCTGACGTCCGAGATGCGGCGCATGGAGGCCGCCTAAAAAAATCAGCAAGAAGGTCAGACAGCCCAACGGACACATGGGCAAGAGGCCTGAGCAGGACAGACGGACAATGGCACCCACACGTCCCATAAACACATAGAAGAGCGGCCGACTTCCTTAGCCGTTCGGGGAAAGCAAACACAGACGCAATCGCGACACCGGCGGCCAGCAGACCGGGAAATCTGGGCGACCGCACCCGCGAGCCCCTCCCCCCACGGACTTGGCGTGGGGACTGGGGTCTGCAGGGGGAACCTGGGTGGCCTTGCCGGCTCAGGCTGTGCAGGCACAGGTCGGCGGCCTTGTGCCTGCCCGCCTGGGTTTGTAGCAAAGACAAGTGCGCATGCGTGTTGCCCTGTGGCCGGACCGTGTCCGGAGCGTGTCCGGGGAGCCCTGCCCGCCATCCCCAGACCGGCTGACGGGCAGTGCCCTGCGGGCACCCTGGGAAGCCAGCCACGTTCTGCTTCTTGTCGGGGGGGAGGGGTTCCTGCGTGCGTGCGTGTCGGGAGAAGGGCCGCTGGCACGTGCATGTGTGTGCTGGCCGGCAGGCGTGCTGCGCCCTGCTGACACCGGGTGCCAGACGCTGGGTCTAACGCTTCTGCTCTCTGACTCTGTCTGACCCCTTGGCGAGGAAACTCAGGTCCCGCTTAAACACCCAAAATAACCCTAACACGACAGCAGTGCCGTGTGGGCTGTCCCCGGGCAGCTGCCCTTCTGGACGTTGTCCTGAGGAGGTGACCGGGCAGGAGCGCGGCAGCGGGCAGCTGTCTGGCTGGGGTTTCAGTCGGAGAGCCTGCTCTGCGGCCCCCAGGACAGGCCCGAGGGCCCACGGGGCCCGCGCCCCCCTCGGGGCCAGGAAACCAGGCACCTCACCCTCAGGCCTCGAGACGCGGCTGCGCGGCAGCTTCTGCGCCGCCCCCGTCCGGGAGGACAGACACGCGTCTGCGCCCACCTCCCCACCTCCCCGCAGAGCCCCCGCACCGCACACCATTTTGCCCTCGGACAAATCACTTTAACTCAAAAGAGCGGGCCTCCCAGCCGTCCTCAGAAATGGAAAAGCAGCCTTCAAAGGAAAGCCCCGACCCTGGAGGGCCTGGGCGAGGAGGCCCTCAATTACCGTCCCTCTGGTATGACAAGCATCCTGTCTGCTGCCCTGCGGCCGCCCGCTGCTCTCAGAAACCCTCCGCGTCCGAAATAGCTACGGCAACCAGCCATTAAACCAGGGCTGCTCTTCAATCCTCCCTTTCTTTTCTCTGTTTCCAAACTGGCACTTGGGGGACTTGGCGGAGACCAAAATGCGGACTCCACGAGCGCACTGCGGTGGCGGCCAGGCCCGCGGAGGCCTGGTCTGGCTACGGTGGGAAGCCGGGCTGTTTTAGGGAGACTGCCCCCCGCCCCGCCTCCGCCGGGCTCACACGGGCTTCAGGGCCTGATGGCAGACAAGGCAGCGCCCAGGACCTGCGGAAAACAGCGTCCCCGAGCCCCCACCCAGAGCTCTCCTGAGCAGAGGCCTCTCCAAGGCTGAAGGCCGCGTGTCCTGGAAGAAAACCTCATGCCTCCGAAGGGCGCAGTTTCCCTCCAGCTGCCACCGCCTCACCAGCCTCGCCGGAAGACTAGAGGCTTTCAGGACCACCGGACGCCCCCCCTACCGCCACCTCCCGCAGCCCAGGCCCCGGTCACACAGCCAACAGGGCCGTCCGCACCTGCCTGGGCCTCGCTGAGGGGCGGTGAACTCTAGGCTCTGCCACCCCCAGCAGGACCCCGGGCTGGGCCATGCCGGCCGCGTGGCTTTAGCCTGTAAGAGCCATTCTGTCATCTGTGGTCGGCAGCCCACAATGCTTCTGTCCGGACACAAGCCACACCCACGCACACAAGGCTGACCCCGAGGTCGCGGGGTGGGGGCCGGCGGGGGCCTTGCTTCCCAGCTCTGTCACGTGGCCGGGCCGATGCTCGGCCGCTGTGCGAAGTGCTCGGCCGTCTACCTGCGATGCCGGGCCAACTCGTCGGGGGAGAGGGTGGTGCGGGGCGCGGTGGGGGCGTTTCATGGGGACAGAGCGTCAGTTGGGGGGACGGAGAGTTCCGGAGGGGATGGCAGGGACGGCGGCACAGCAGTGTGGCTATGGTGACGCCGCTGAGCTGCGCACTTAGCGGCGGCCGAGCTGCTAACTTCTGCTGTGTATACTTTACGAAATTTTTCAAAAAACGTAAAGTGCCAGCCCCCTGGGCCTCACAGACATGGCAGTGGAGCTGGCGTCTCAGGGGACGTCTCAGGGGACAGGGAGGAGGTGAAGGCAGTGGAGGGGGCGGGGGCGGGGGCGGGGGTGACAGGGACTGCCTGGCTCCGCCCCCTTTGAGGAGGGGGTGTGAAGGCCACAGAGGCTGCGAACACAATGGCCGGCACAGAGCAGGTCTTCGGTGAGTGTTGGGGACAGACAGGACAGGACAGAATGAAACGGAAAACGCCGGCGGCGAAGCCGTCTGGCATGACCCCCGACGCCCGGGGGTCTGTCGCGCTCCTGGGAGAGCCCGCCGTTCGGGTGCTGAGTCAGCTGTCCCTCGGGACGAGCCCTCGGTGCACAAGCGGCTGCGCCTTTTCTAAGGGACGGTGGCACGTCTGGCCCTCAGCGCATTTGCCACGCTTGCCCATCGACACAGATGACGTGAGTGCCGGGGTCCACAGCCCCTCGCCCAGAAGCCGAGCTCGAAAGAAAACCGCGGCTTCGTCCTCTGACGGCCAGCACGGCAGCCAGCACGGCCCGCCCCCCGAAGAGGGCCCGTTATAAACCGGAGCCGCCCCCCGCATCCGGGAAGCCGCACCTGCCTCCAAGCCCTTTCAGCGCGGCGTCCAGGCCGTGCCCCGGCCCCGTGCCGTCCGCGGGGCTCTCTGCGGACCCCAGACACGGCCCCGTCCGGGCCGGCACCGATGCCAGGACTCACACAGCCACACAGATGACCGGGCACCTCCGAGCAAAACCAAACGAAAGAGCAGAAACGAGGGCACTGGGCCGGACTCACCAGCCTGTGCGCGAGGCGCACGGTGACAAGCGGAGAGGCTGACAGGTTCTGGGAGAGCGCGGGCGGTGGGGCGACCTCCAGGGAGATGAGGTAGCTGGCGGCGGACAGCAGGCAGCTCGCGTAAGCCGCCGCCTCGGCGATCCTGGGGAGAAGGGGAGAGTCACACGCAGGGGCCGGGCGAGAGGCCGCGGGGCAGCGAGGAGCCGGGCTGCCGCGGCGGGGCCTCGGCGACGGGGCGCCGGGCCCCAGCCGTCGGTGCTGGGTGCCCCTTGCGGGGCGGCGCCGGCCCTGGGGGTGAACCCCCGCTCAGCGTGGGAAGCCGGCAGCCCGGGCCTGGGGCGCAGACCTGCCCCTCCGAGCCCGACGCCGGCTCCGTGGGGGAGACAGGCCCTGGCCTCGCCGCAGAGCTTATTCTTTTACTTTCACATTTCCTTTCCCTTTTTCCTTCTTATTAAATTTATGGGGTGACCCTGGTTAACAAGATTATACGGGTCTCGGACGCGCAGGTCTCTGCACGGTCGCAGGGTTTACGTGCGGCAGGAGACGCCCGCGCAGACGCCCGGGGGATGAAGGACACAGAGGCCAGAGAGCAGACTCGGAGGACGGCCGTCCGCTCCACCGCCGCGCGGCCGGGCCCGGGGCCTCCCCGTCGGAACATTCATCTCCTGATGGCGAAGCCGCGCGGCCGGCAGGCTGGGGCCCCTGTTGTCTTGGCCCCCCGTGTCCCTTCCGGGGGCCCTGTTTCCCTCCAGCGCACGGGCTCCACAGCAGACACTGACTCAGGGGGAAAGTGCCCGGTCGGAGACGGTCGCTCCCCCGCCACAGGGGAGCTGGAGGGGCGAGGCCGGGCTCTCAGTCCGGAGGGCGTCGGCGGGCCGGGCGCCGTGGCCAGGGCGCTGGGGCGAGCCGCTCCTGAAGCCGCTGCTCCTGCACCTGTCCGTTTCCTTGGCCGGATCCACTCCCCTTTTGCTTCAAACCGTGTCCTGGTCCCATTTTGAGGACACAGCCCCCGCAGCCCCTTGCCTGCCCCAGCGTGAGCATCAGAGAGAGCAGAGCAGCCCACCGCTGCAGGCCGGGGGCAGCGAGCCGGGCGGGCCCCCTGCTCCGGGCGGCCCAGCAGGGACCCGCTAAGCCCGTTGACACCCAGGACCTCCGCCGGGCGCGGGGCTGTGTGACTTTGCTCTTCGTGCATTAAACTCACATGCTGACTGAGGTCTCCCCACCCCTCCCCGCCCAGGGGGTTTAAAGGACATTAGGATTCCACTGCATCCTTTCACTCCCACCAGAAACCGTCACCGTGGGAAGATTACAGGATGTGACCCGGAAGGACGCCAGCTGGGCCGGCAGCCGGCGCACCAGAGAGCCCCCCGCGGGCCTGCTAATTCGCTTCTAATCGTGCGTGGGGTTTGAAAACTATCCTAAAGGCAGTGCTGAGAGCGTCCAGTCATCTCGTGGAGGGATCGAAGCAAGCGCCCGCGCTTCACGGCCAAAGGCGCGAGGCCTCCTCCAGACAGCCAACGCCCCGCGTGCTCCGAGGGGCCCTCGGGCGGCGGCACCGGCACCTCCAAGCCAGCAGCAGAGCGGGGTCGGGGGCGCCCGGCAGCTGCCCACGTCCACCTGGCAGTCGGGGCGTCCGGCCGGCGCAGGGTCCAGAGCCCGCGCCCAGCTCTGAGCTGCGACCCCGGGGCCACTGTCAGCTCTGCCCCTGTCCCTCCTCCTGCCCCCGCTCAGGGAGGTCCCCACCGACGAGGGACGGCACGTGGGAGCCGTGTGTGGGTGGTTGTCACGGTCCGCGCGACCCCTTGGCTGCCCACGGCTGTCGCAGTACCAGCCCCGAGCCCGGGACCATTCCTCGGGCTGACGCTGAGGCCCCGGGTTTGGGTCCCGAGGCCTCGGGCAGAATGTCGTGCACGCCTGCGGCGCGGCCGCGTCCCCGTGGTCAGCCACCCTCGACGGCGCGCAGGCTCGCGCAGCCCCGTCTCCTCTGTGCTGGGCGGGCCCCGGGGCTCACCTGGTGTTGTCTGGCCGGATGCCGCTCACGTAGCGATGCACCCTGTGGTACAGCAGGCCCACGAAGGTGGTCCAGCCTGCGGGAGGGCAGGGGGCGGGGCCTCGGTCAGCATCCCGGGGGCCCGCAGGGGAGATACAGCCCCTGCCACGCCCCCTCGTCCCCCCCGCCCCGTGCAGACCCTCACCCGAGAACCGGGGGAGGAGCAAGGGGGGCCCTCCTGAGACGCTGACTCTTCAGCCGCAACAGCTGCTCTCTGCTCCCCCCGAGCCAACCCCAGACCTGCCGGCACTGCAGCTGCCGAGGCCAGGCCGCCGCGAGCCGCGGGGGGTCCGCGGTGCATCCCCCGCCCCCCGCCGCGGGCCCGGGGCACCCACCGTGGCTGTGGAAGGCCTCGTGCGGAATCTCGATGTAGCTGTGGGCCTGGGCCGGGAAGCGGCAGCAGGAGGAGTCCAAGGTCTTGGGCAGGAGCTTGGCCACGGAGAACTCTGAGGGAGGCCGTGGGGGAGAGCGCTCAGAACCCCGGACGGGGGCGGCGTGGCCCCGCCGGCTTCTGCCCTTTGCAGCGGAACACACTTCCCAGGGGGTGTAAGTGCCTCAGAAAACGGGGACCCGAAAATAACGAGGGTCTCGGGAGGTAAATTCAGGGGCTCGCCCGGCCACTCCCGGCGGGGGACCCTGGGCCTGAGGGGACCCCCTTCCTGGGCAGCCCTTCGGCTCTCGGCGCCTCATCGCCAAACGCGCCCGGTCGTGCGGCGAGACCCGTGCAGTGACACCCCGCTGAGCTCCGGGGGCACAGGACGGGGAGACCCCCGAGACCCGCCTCTCAGGCGTCAGGTGAACGTCGCCACGTGGAGGCGGCCGTCCCAGCGGACACGCCCCGCGGACGCTGCCCCGTGCGGGTCCCCCGGCTTGTTTCCAGGGCTGGCTCTCGGGGGACACGGTCCCAGAGCCAGGCGTCCCCAGACTCTCAGCAGCAGGGCCTGACTGGCCGGCCGGCCACCCCACAGATGCGCGGGGGCACTGCTGCGCCCCACGGCCCCCCGAACTAAGGCGGCCGTGCGACAGAACGTGACCCCGAGTCGCCGTCCAAGGCTCACGGGGGCTGTGTGCGCGTTGCCCCCAACGCCCTCACTGTCTGCCCCAACGTGCGGTTCACACGAGAAAACAGAGCCAGTGTCCGCGGGTGGGAGGCAGCATGGGGGGGAGGCAGAAGCGGGGTTTGGTGGGCGCAGCCCCAGGGGGCCCCCCTCCCTCATCCCCGCCTGTGCTCATGTGCCCCCACCGGCCCGCCAAGCACCTGCCATGGAGGAGGAGCCCGTGAAGGCGACCTGGGTCTCGTTGGCGTGCAGGTTGGAGGCGATGTGCCTCATGACGGTGTCCACGGTCTCTATCAAGCTCGGCACCACGGCGTTGTCCTGCGATCAACATGGGGGGGGGGCGCTGTGACGTCGGCCTCGTGCAGAATCGCGGGCCCAGCCTGGGCGCCAGACGCACACAATCCAGCTCCCGCTCACTGTGCGGACGTTGGTTCAGAGGGAGGGGGACATCCGGCGTCTGCCGAGTTGCCCACAAGGACCAGGGAGGAGGAGCCGAGCGAGTCCCACCAGGACCCCCTTTCCCGAGTACAGAGGTGACCCCGGGGGTCACTCAGCCCGCTGAGCTCTCTGGGTGTGGACCCGCGTCACACAGGCCTCTGCACCCAGGCATGGGTGCCAGGCGCTGCCTCGCTCCACTCTGAACTCGCCGAGGGACCTCGGCAGGTCTCCGGACGGCCGCCCCCTGCTGCCCACGATGAGGGGGTTCATCTCCCCCAAGTCCCCTCTTCCGTTCTGTTCTCTGTGAGCGGGGTGATGCCGGCGCCCCAAACCGTCCCCGCTCCCTTGACTTGCCTGGTGCTCCCTCCACCCATCCTGGGCCCCAAGGCAGAGGGGGTGCTGGTGGAGCCGCCCCACGAGCCAGGGCCCCTCCCGATCACCTCCCGCTCCCCCCAACCCCGGCAGCCAGCTCAGCGCCCACTGTTCGCTCGGGCTCACTGTCCCTCCTGGTCAGACGCACGTCCTGCCACCTCTTCTCTCCTTCCTGCCTTCCTGAGAGCCTCCGCCTGCCGCTAAGTGTCCTCAGCCTTTCCCCGCGAACGCCGGCGAGCCATGAAGCCAATCTCCAGCCCTCGGCTCGGCCCGCAGCGTCCGCGTTGCGCCTGAGAGCCGGCCCTGGTCGGCCGGGCCCGCAGGTATTCGCGTGCTGCGGCAGAGCTGTCGGGCGCTGCCAACGCACCTGCGCGGCCGTCCACCGGCCCCTCATCCGGGCTCCAGGCTGGCACCCGGCCAGCCCTGGAAGTTGTGAAGCCGGTGCCGGGGGGCGGGGGGCGCATACCTCTTCGCACAGAATGCGTCTCTAGGACACGTGGTGCTACTCTTACGTTCACGACCCCTGTTTCTCCCTTTGCCCATGTTAAGCCCAATCTCATTGCATTTCAAACTGTTCACATAAAAAAATCTACCAAAGGTACCCCCCGATCAACCTCGTTAACCCCAAGAGGTGGGGACGGCGTGTCCCCGCACACGACTCGCGCTGTGCAAACGCGCAGAGAGGGCCCCGGAGGACCAGGCCTCCGCTGCCCCGCGGGGGCCGCCCCCTGCGCCCCAGGCAGCACCAGCCCCCTTGCCCGGCCCCGCCCCCGCAGGCCTCCCTGGCAGGTGGCGTGGACGCAGGCCCGTCGGAGGAGCCGGTGCCAGTGTCCCCGGGCTGTGGGGCGGAGCAGAGGCTGCTCGGTCCCGCGTGGGACTCTGCGGGAGTGAGACGCCGGTGCCGAGCACCAGACGCAGGGTCCGCCTGCCCCCGAAGCCCCGTGCGCCGGACGGAGCCAGACCCACTGCCCCTGGGAAGTGCGCTAGAGCCAGCTAAGCCGGACAGACCGCCTGTCTGCAGGGCTGCGTTCGCAGGAGGGAGCTGAGACCCGGGTCTGCGCGATCCGCACCAGGGTGTCCACGGTCGCTCCCTCATCTCAGGGTCTCCAAGGACTTTTTCCTACGTTTTTGCTACGTCCATTTCCTAACGTCTCCACAGTCACTCGTTTTATTTTTTACATTAATAAAATCACTAAAGCTCATTTTAGAAAGGAAAGAAAAATGAGCCCGTTCTCCTTCCTAATTGCCTGCAGGGCAGGGAAAGAGGAGCCCCCGCGTTTTTCACACTTAGGCTCAGAAGGGCCTTCGTCCTGTTCTTCTTCCCCTTCGCCTTGTGACTTTAAACATCAACGCTGTTTTCTGTTACCTCTCAAGAACCACCGGACGACCAGAACTGCACTATGAGAACGACCCACGGAGGCCGGTGCTCGCGGAGGCACGCAGACAGCGCGCCCCTCGGCTCAGCCCGGGCCTCTCCCGGCCCTGGTTCAGGACCAGAGACGGCCGCCCCGGCGGGTGCGGACGGGCCGCGTTTAGGCCACGCGGGGCGGGCAGGCCGGCCCCCGGCCGCTGCGCCTCGCGGGCCAGAGCGCCCTCCATCTCACCTCAGACATGTCCGTCCAGCTGGGCAGCAGCAGCACCTCTCCCATCGTCTTCAAGAAGGTCTAGGAAAACAGGAGGACACTGCAGAGCCCGCGCCCCCGGCCTCAGGACCTCGAGCCCCCACCGCGTCCCCGCCCCCGCCAGCCACCGACAGATGGGGGTCCCCACGTGGCCTGCGGCCCACACCACAGTCTGCTGGAGACCCGGCTCCTGTTCTCGCCAGGTGCCAGGGAGGCGGGGCGTTTGGACCAGGAGTTGCTAGCCCAGCTGCCCACGGGGCCAGGAGGCCGTGAGACGGGCCGGCTGGCCGGCGCTGGGGACACGGCCCAGGAGCCGGGGCCCCTGTGGAGGAGGCCCCGGGGGCTGTCAGAGCCGGCTGGTGCGGCCGCGCTGCCTGGTTGCTTGTAACAAGCCTGAAATCCAGACCCGGGTGTCGAAGCTCCTCGATTTTTAAGCCTGTGTAGCTCTAACAACGCGTGCCCGTCAGCCAAGGCCTGGCCGCCGCCTGGAGCCCGGGCTGAGAGGGCTTTACCTCCGTGAGGTTCCGGGCCGTGTCCTGGGACAGGGGTTTGTCGGGCAAGCTGAGGGACACGTTCTGAAGGTAGTTCAGCGCAGCCCCGGAGTTCTGGAAGTTGCTCCTCTCCTCCGTCAGGTTGGTGATGATGGGGCGGTAGGCGTCGGTGGGCGTCTGGAACACAGACCGGCGGCATGAGCTTTGGCCAGAAGGGGAGCCGGGACGCCCCCTGTTCACAGCCTCCGGACTCGCGCAGGCTCCGCGGGAACAGCGAGGACGCCCCCCAGCGCATACGGCGGCACGTTGTCCGTGTTAACATTCCCTCCTCACGACAACCTCACGAAATCCGCACCCGTGCCCTAGGCGACGCTAAGCCCAGAGGGACTTAGCCCCAAACACGTGTCAGGATGGGGACAGGAACCCAAGCCCATGGGTCAGGAAGCACGACCCGCGGGCTCGTCGGAGCTCCGTGGAAGGACCGCTGTCTTGTTGCAAAGACAACCCCCCGGGGGCACGTGCCCTGTGCTCGGACGCTGGAGGGGAGGGGCACGGAGGGAGCCGAGCCCTGGGCTGCGTGGCCACCTGCGCTGGGGGCGGTCCCGGTGCCCGACTGCCCTGCAGACGCCTCGCTGTCCTGTGTGTTCCGCGGGCGCCTGAGGTCGCGGCCACGCGAGCATTTTCTCGTCGGAGTCGCTCGGCGCCCGGCCCGCACCCGCTCTGGCCTCCCCCCGCGTGTCCCGGCCCCCAGGCCCCGCGCCGCCCGCGGGAGAGCGCGGGCTCTCAGAGACGCTGGCCCAGAGTCCCAGCCAAGCGACACCACAGGGGGGCCGCAGGGACGCACGTCTGCTCACCGGGGTGCCGGCTGTGGGCGTCACCAGGAAGCTGGGTGGTGTCGGAGACGGCCCGCTTTGCTTTCCTGGGGAACAGCGAGAGAGGTCGGTGAGAGGCCACGCCGCAGGCCCCGCGCCCCCTGAGGAGGCTCCGTCCTCGTTCAGACACCCGCCAGCGTCAGACACAGCGCGAGGGCCGCGGCGCCCTGAGCAGGAAGGTTTCCGGAAAGATAAAGGGCTAATACATGAGCTTAATGGACAGTTCGTATAGATTTCCCAGGTCAAATTATTTTTCCATGTGTATCCTCTGTTGCCTTTGAATGCCCTTCCTGCAAACCACCACATAAAAAGATGAATTTACACCGCTTCACCAACCTCGGGCCAATAAAGAACCAAAAGAAATGGACTTCAACCGCGTCTGGACATAAAAGACAGGCTGCCGGTCGCGGGGACAGACCCCTCCCCCACCGGCCCCTCCCTCCCTCCAGACCGAGGGCGGGAGAGCCGAGGAAGGGGGGGGGTCCTTCCGGCCCCTCTCCCTGACGGCGCGGCCGTTCCATTCAGAGCTCCATTTGGTTAAATGTGAACGGTGACAGGTAGTTAATTGTGGGTGATTACGAGTAGTTACAAAGTGAAGACATCCCAGGCCCGGGCCCAGCCGTGGCTGAGCGCACGCTCCCTTGTTTGAGGAAGTCCCTCACGGTTGCTTCGGGTGACCTAGGAAACGGCCTGGTCGCCCGGCGGTTGCTCCGGGAGAACCGGTCCCTGGGCTGGGGTGGGCGGGGAGCTGCTGGGTGTAGAAGGGGGGACGCCGCTGGGACACTTGGAACCAGAACCACTCTGTCCTCCAAGTCGGCGCGGCACTCGCCTCTGCCGCACCAAGGACTCACGGAGGAGCCCCCGCGTGAGCCAGGCGATCAAGTCAAGGACAAGAAACGCGTGTCCTGCCGTCCCGCCCGCCCGTGGCTGGTGACCATGGGGACAGATGAGAAACGCCAACGAGCCCTGTCCTCGGGCAGCCTCAGTCCCCACCGCCCGGACGTCCCCCCCCCGCCCGGCGTGTCTGGTGCTCCAGGGAGACGCTGTCCCGTCGTGGGGCCCTGAGCAGCGGGGGCCAGGCGGGCTGGGCTGGGCGCGGCCCGGCCCCGGACAGGCGATCAACACCGGGCCTTGGAGAGGCTCAGAAAAGGCCACACCCTCTGCACAGAGCACAGGTGGGATCAGACGAGGCCCCCGGACAGGCCCCTCGGAGACACGTCCCTCTAGGCGCCTGCTGTCCCAGGCTCCCGGGCAGGCGGGTCCCGGTGCGGAGAGCGGGTGCTGCGGCCTCCCACGGACACGGCCCCCCGGGCCCCAGGCCCTGGCCGGGGGTCCGCCCCGCTGTGGTCTGACCCGGTGGCCTGAGCTGGCTCTGGGGACGTCAGGGTCGCTTTTCCTACGCCTGTTTTACCCCGTGGTCAAGTGACGTCACAGGTGCAACGCACCCTGTCACGGAACCAGGTCCCCACGCAACACAATTTCCCGACGGGTCTGGCTCCGGCCCAGCAATGGCTCCCCGGGACACCGGCGCTAAGAGAACACCTGCCCCCGTCCCCAAAGCCCCAGACATCCCCTCCCCAGGTGCGGGCCCCTGAGCCCAGAGGCATCCTGGGGGCAAGGACTTGCTGTGACAGCCAGAAGAACCAGCGTCACGGGAGCCGGGAGCGGCTGGGCGGCCGGCCCGCCTGTGGTCTTCCACGACGCAGACACCTGGCCACGTCGGCGTGACAAGCCCGACTCCCGGCCGTTCACTGCGGCAGATTGATTCCCCCTTCCTCGCCGGAGGGCACTCCATTTGGTCCCATGTCGCTTCCGTGAAAGGGAATGAATTTCATTTTCTTGTGACAGATGAGAGAGTCAGTGGCTGCAGGCGACACAGCAGGCGTCCCTGCGCTTCTGAAACCAGCACCTGCTTGTCCCCCAGGTCTCAGACGAGGCTGAGCACCCCTCCCCCCCCCGCATCTGGGTGGTTGGGGCCTGGGCTGGCGCAAGTCAGCACATGTGACCCCCATCGGCCACCGTGACTGCGCCCGGGAGGCACAGGGACCAGCTGGGCAGAAGGGAGTGGCAGCCGGTCCTGTCGCCGCGGGAGAACGAGAAGCCCCTTGTTTCTGCTGAGGTCGTGGGAGGGGGACAGCGCGGCTCTGGCAGGAATGCAGCCACGTTGTCACCCCAAGGAAGCGCGGGGGGTGGGCAGGGTCAAACAGGGGTCCCTCGTGACAGCGTTTGAGCACTGGGATTGAGCAGCTCTGAGGCCGATGCTCCCGTGGTTCACGTTACGTGAGATTAAAAAAAAACCCACCTCGGCTAAGTCACTGTGGTTGGGCTTCCTGTCCCAAACTCACTGGGGTCCTGACAACGGGGGCTCCGTGTCGGGACCCGGGCCGCTCAGCCCTGGGCCCGACCCCACGTCCCCTCTGCCCTGGGGTCAATGCGGCGGCCCAACAAGGAACATCTACGCCGTGCCGCGTGGTGGCTGCCCCTTGTGGACAGATTATTTCACGTTAAAAACAAAGAAACGGTGCACTCTCTCGCGGGCAGAATGAACATGGGACTGTAGGGCAATAAGTGGCCACACCGAGAGCAGCTGAAATGTGTCGGGCGGCTGGACGCGGCCTGGGCCGCGGCCTCGCGTCTCCTCACGCCTGTCTTCCCCGCCCCCGCTCGGGGGCAGGGCGTTGGCACTTGGGGGGGCAGGGGTGGGGTTTTCAGGGAGGAGGACGCAGAAGGTTGCGTGTCACATGGTCCCAGTTGCGGGGGCATCCAGAGTGGGCAACCCCGAGAGGGGGGAGTGATGCCCGGTGCGGGGGGCCGGACGGGGAGCAACGCTCGTGGCGCCGGGTCCCCTCCGGGGGCGGCAGAGCTTGGCGTCTGCAGGTGAGGCTGCGTGACGTGAACACAGGGGCGGCGCTCGCGGTCCTTCACAGTACTTCACAGTACTGGCGCTGAGGTTACGGGAATTTCACCTCAATGCGAAAACAGAAACAAAAAACAAAAAAACGCACCAAATGAAAGAGAAAACCCAAACCAAAAAAAAACAAAACAACAATGGCCGCCAGGCCCCACGACGCATCGTGGCCACGGGGCGGCTGGCCCCCGCCCGCCTGCCCGCGGTCCGCTTGCGCCGGGCAGGGAGCGGCCGCCGGCTCCCCGAGGGCCCGCCGCCGAGCCTGGCGTGCGGGAGGCTGACAGCAAACGGGCATCGGTCAAGTTCCAGGAGGACCTGGGCCTTGGCTCCCAAAGCTTCTGTCACCATCCATCACGCAGACCTCGGAAACTCGCGGTCTCGGGAGACTGTTCGTCTGAGCGAGTTTCTGGCACACCGTTCCTTCCTGTGCCTTAGGGAACAGGTGTGCTAGAAAAGGCCGCTGTATTTATGAGGTTCTCTGGGACACACGGCGCTGATGGCCGCATCCGGGGAGCGGGGAGGCGGCGTCCGGGAGGGGGCGGGTACGCCGGCGCCCCCAGGACGGACGCCCGCCTGCCTGGCCCCACTTCCCGCGCGGCTGCCCCGCCCCGGCCGCGCCGCGCCCCTCACTGACCTACGGCCGCCCGGAAGTACAGGCCGATCTCGTCCGGGGTCAGCGCCCGCTCCCAGATGGCGAACTCGTCGAAGGCCCCGTTCTCGTAGCACCGGCTGCGGTCCTGCTCGGAGCCTATGACGAGGTTGGCGTGGGGGTCCCCGTAGACGTGAGACACTTTCCCACTGGGGTCCGCGGTGCTCAGGGTGCCGTTGACGTAGACCTTCAGGCCCTCCTTGGACCTCCACGTGAACAGGACGTGCGTCCAGTAGGGACCTGGGAAGAGCGGAGACCGCCATGCCGTGCGCCGCATGAGCGAGCGCCGGGCCTCGTCCCCCGGCGGTGGGCTCACCCCACTTTCTCCGCATGATGGGTCCCCGTTACCTTGGGCGAGTCCCCTCGCAGGTCCTGACACAGGCCCAGCCCCGCTCCGTGCTTGGGGGCGGCACAGGCAAGAAACCTCCCCACCCCCCGAATCCCAGAAGCGCTTCAAAGAGATTCTTTGCTACTTTAAACAAAACCGTTTTCTCTTTTGAATTACAATGAAGTAATAACCAATGGTCATAAGTTACTCCGAACATCATCGAATCCTACAGGTGAACCCTGGTTGAACCATCGGCAGCTCGGACACGGAACGTGTGCCGTTCACCAGGCTGCTTGTCCCACCGGCGCGAGGCCATTCAGCAGCCGGAAGAGCGGGCGTCTGATGCCGCCTCACAGAGGCCCCGCTCCGGTCTGCGGGCGCTGTGTCCGCCCGTCCTCGCAGACGTGCTCCCGGGAGGAGCCTGGTGGCCCTCCCTGGGGCCGGTGTCCCCGGAGCTCGCCCAGCGGTTCCCTCAGGGCTCCCTGCTGGGGACGGAGCAGCTCCCTCACCCTGAGCCCCCGTGGAGCACGCGGACGCGAGGTCGGCCCGCATCCTCGCCCTTGCGTTTGAGGCAGGAGGAGCGCGAGCCTTCCCGGACCCCGTGACGAGAGTATCGCCCGGCAGCAAGGCCTCCGGGCCCTCGTTCTCCAGGGCGGGAGGACAGTCGGAGCTCAGCTGGCTCCCCCTGAGAGCACATGCGGGACCCGCGGGGCGCCTGGCGCCGCGCCAGCCCCCGGAGCACGGAGCTGAGGCGCTGAGAGCAGCCGTGCCATGCCGAGGGCCACACACGGGGCGCAGGCCGTCCTGGGGGCAGCGGTCGTCTCTGGTCTTGAGGGTCAGAGAGGACACATCCGCTGGAGTCCCCTCTTCGACAGGGCGGAGGGACAGGGATCCCCAGACCCCGATACCCCAGGCTCCCCGAGTGTCGTCACTGGGTCCTCACCGCCTCCCTGGGACACAGGCTGCGTGGGGCGCGTGTTCTGAGCGAGGAAACTGAGGCAGGCGCGGGGAGGTGGGCGCCCACAGAGCTCACCCAGCACTCAGGCCGTCGGCCCCAGTTCCGCGTTTTTTAACTGAGACGCGTGGCCTCGTTTAAATGCGATGGAAAACAAATTGTCCTTAAATATCTGAAAGGGGTCGTTTCCTCCTGGAGGAAACCATCGTGGCCTCATTCTGCCCCCATTACCTCCGCACTCCCTTCGCGTCACCCCCCAAAGATGCCCCAAAACACCTCTGCGTCGTGGCCACCTCTCCCCTCCCAGCTCCCCGCCTGTACCCCGACCTCGCGCCCTGAGGCGACCCGCTGGCTGCAAGCCACAGGAAAGCGGGAGTCGCCAGACAGGACCGGCTGGCATGTCATCGGCTGCCCGCGGGGGCACGGCCACGCCTGCCCACGGTGCCCGCCCTGCAGGACGTCTTCCCAAGCGGCCCTCCCGGGACGCGGCCTGAGCCTGGGTCCCTGGGGGCGCCCCGGCGGCCCCGCGGGGCGACGGCGCCCTCACCTGGCGGGCTGAAGGTGGCCTCCCACGTCATGGCGTTATTCCGCGTGTACAGCTCCACGGAGCCCTTGCCGCCGCTGGAGCAGACCTTGAACCCGTCGGAGATGACCTGCCCTCCGTACGCGAAGGGTGTTGTTCGGGACTGCTCGCCCGGTGTCTTCCAGAAGAAAGAGAAGGTGACCCCTGAGGAAGGGAAGGTGCTGGTCATGACCCATGACGAGGGGAAGAGACCTCGCCTCGCTGCTCTTTTTCATTGGAAAGAGCAGGCTTTCTGCGTTCTAGAGACAGTGTACATTCAGATCAGAAAGTACAGACGAAAGGAATGGGTAACACGTGCTGAGCGCTCGCTGCGTACACTGCACTCTTCTAAGGGCTCTAAAGGGGTTGAGTCCCCCAAATACTACGAAAACCCGTTACACACTGGAGGACACTCGGGCCACGAGCCCAAGGCCGCTGAGCGAGCGACCGGTGAAGAGTCGATCCGACGTCAAGCAGCCTGACCGCAGGGCCTCGCTCTCGGTGGCCGGTGCCGTTGCGTGTCTGCCCTCCTGTGGGTCCAGGGGCGCCCTCGCTGCGGCACCGGGCTGGCAGGAGGCCCTTCGCTTTTTCCACAAAACAAGAGGCACGTTCCTCATTTCCACCAACAGCTTCGCTGATTCGGATACTGTGAGTGGTCGGCTGTCTCCCCCGTGCACAATGTTGGTTGTTCTCAACGTCTCGAGTGGATCGTTTTCAGCTCCAACCGGTCTACACGGCCGTGGAGCATCGTCCAGCAAGAAATCTCTGGCACAAAACTTCGCCAACCACCTTTGACACATTCGATCAGTCACAGCACCTTCTCCACAACACTTCTGCACAAGTCTTTTTTGGGGGGGCGAGGGGGCATTTTTACCTTTCTGGAAATAATTTAACATAATATGCCAAAAATGTTGCCTATTTTCTTCTAGTTTCAGTAATAAAATGGCTACACATAAATTCACCAGTTTTGGTAAGTTTTTTCTTAAATGCACGCTGATATGAGAGCTGTCACAATGCAATCCGACAAAAGTGTTTCAAATGAGGTTAAAGGCAACGAAGCGCTGCTCGAGCCAGCTGACGGAAAAACCCAAACAAACTTTTTGGCCACTCCAACAGCTTCTTCTCTTCTCTAAGTCTATTTTGCAAAGAAAGGAACAGACTCTAAAATCAGTAAACACCCTCAGATGAGGATTAAAATGTAAGGGGCCTGGACCTCCCTTGGCCTCGGGGAGGCTCAGGGCGGAATTTGAAGGCACAGTGTCCTCCGGGCCCTGAGGGACGCAGAAGTCCCGCAAGGTGGCCTGGACTGCGGTCACTGAGACGGACGGGGCTTGGGAAGGCCGCTCGGGGGGCAGCTGTGCTGTGCTGGGGCCTGGCTGCGTCTCCGAGCCCGCTGCCCGCTGAGGCGGCCGGGGGAGGCTCAGGGCGGGCGACCCCCGTCCCCGTCGGCCACGTGCGGCAGCGATGGCTGAGCCCCCGGTGGGCCCCTCCGATCTCGGAAACAACCCGCTTCACAGGGAGGCAAACGCACACATTGCGAAACGCTTGTTATGAAACGAATTCCCCGTAGGGTTTGTGGAAGTCAATTTTTTCCAAACACTTCGCTGCATTTAAAAATTTGTTTCATTCAGCCCTCTCTTGGCCAGAGGTCCTTCTGTCCAGGAAGAAAAATAAAGCGTTCGGCTTGGTGGGAGACGAGGGGGCGGAGGCAGCGCCGCCGTGCCCGGCCCGGCGGGTCGCATGTGGCCGTGTGACCCGCAGCGTGAGCCGGGGGCTCCGCCGGGAGCACCCCGGTACTTGAAGATCCGCTCACGGCCCCCCCGTCTTCACAGATGCCCAACGAGCCCTCTCCATTAGGATTTTGAGGGAACTGGCTTCAGGCACTGTCAATACAAAGAAAAAAACCTGAAGGAACAACGCCGAAGTGCAATAGTGGCAAATTAATTCAATACTTTTTTTTTCTCCTTATGAGCAGGGAATCTTCATCCACGCAAAAAATACAGTGAGAAAAAAAAAAAATACAGTTCGTCTCTCCAAACAAGACAAAACCAGGAAAGGAAAAATATCCAGATGTCACAAGAAAAGATGGATCAATGTTAATACATAAACGACGTAGAATCCGCACGGCAAACAACGCACCAGAGCAGAGTCAGAAGACAAATGACAGACCGGGGCGGGGGCCGTGTGCACGGCACTGAGCAGACGAGAAACAAATTTCCTGGCACTTTCTTACACAATGTGTGCTCACGGGCGTTTAATGAGGACCCACCACCAGCAGGGGGGCTGTTCCGAGGGTCCTGCAGGTGTGAACTCCTGCCCCCCGGGAGCCCGACGAGGCGGGCGCGGTCGCGGGCCCCCTTCCCCTGGGAGGAAGCCAGCGCACAGAGCGGGCGAGGAGCGAGCCCCGGGCCTCACACAGCCGGTGACGGAGCACAGCGGGGCCCTCGCTCCCCGGCCCCTCTCCCTCGACACGCCTTCCCTCAGAGACAGCGTTGGGGGGGGAGAGGCTCCCTGACTGAATTGGAGGAGGGCGTCCCAGGAGCTCCCGGGATTAAAAAACACAAACGTGGACCCGGACCGGGGAGGAGCCTCGTGGCCTACATGGTCCCGTCTGTGTCCCCGTGGTGGGGCGGGGTTTGGGGGGGGTCGGCGGCCGGCAGAGGGGCAGCTGTCCCCGGGCACAGGCTCGGCACCAGCTTCGGAGTGAAGCCCAGTGGCCGCGGGCAGGGAGGGCAAGGCCTGTGGAGCTGCCCCCGCCCGGCAGCGGGGGGGGGGGGCGCTCTGAGGGAGCCAAGGTGGGAGGGGGGTGGGCGGCGCCCTGGCTGAGGATGTTCCCACGGAGGGCGGGGGGGCGGAGGGTGGGTGCCTGGGACAGTCCCCAGTCATCGGATGCCTGGGGCCTACCCCACGGGCAGCGCACTGGAAACTGATTCCGGTGCGGAGCTGGGGAGGGGACACGTTTCCCGCAGGAGGGACCCGGACACAAACTGGCAGAGTCTGGGCGGCCCCCGGTCCTCCGCGCCCCCGCAGCGAGCCCCACTGTTCCTGGGTCACAGACACGTGCCGGCCACACGTGTGTGCGGGGCTGTGCGAATCAGGAATCGCTCCCATGACCGACCTGTGACACAGGCCGTGCCTTTGGCCCTCAGAACCATCGCTCAAGCCCTGGGTCCTGCAACGTCCCAAACGTGTCCTCCTGCGTGTTTTCGCCTGGCGGAGCTCTTGTTTATTTCCGTTGGCAGGCCGCCCATGGGTCCCAGGACCTCCTCCGGGGACCCCATGCGACACCTCTCCGACAGGACTGCGGAACGTCCCAGGGGCCTAAATGCTTCCAGACGGGCCTGCCTTAAACTCTTTCATGTCCCTAGAAACACAAATTTCCTTTCTGTTCAGGACAGTGGGACCGGAAGGCTCGGAGCCGACCTGTATGGCAGCGGGCCACTGCCCAGAAGGCTTGGACGCACGGCCCAGGCTCCGCTCTCTGAGGCGCCCACGCGAGGGAGCAGGTTACTTTTCGCGGGAAAGTAAAGAAACAGTCCTGCCTCCCTTCCCTTTCGCACCTGGGGGCTCTGTCCGGGGCGTTGTCTGAGCCCCAGGCCTGCCGGCCCGCGCCGGGCCTGCTCCCCCGTCTGTGCCCTGGTTCTGTCCCCAGGCCACCGCCCACGCCCTGCAGCCAGAAGCAGCGAGGGCCCCCACTCGGCCCGGCCACGCCCCGCTTTGCCCTCGCCGCCCCGGCTTTGGCGGCGGTATCTTTCCTGTGTGAGACCGAGTCCTTCCCTCTCCCGTTTCTGTAAGGGACGCTCCGGTCCCCAGGACGGGGCTCCCGTGAGGGCCCCAGCAGCCTGCCCCTCATCCTCCCCTCCAGCCCCTTCGTGACACGTTCGCGAGTTTGCCACTGACGAGAATGCCACCGCGCGGAGGGGCCGACGCCGCCGGGCGATGAGAGGCGTGCGGGCCCGCGCCGCGCGGACGGACCACTCACCTTCGGGGCCGCACTCGGCCGGGTTGCTGAGGCAGGAGGTTTTGTGCCTCCCGTAGTACAGGAGCGTCATGCCTTTCTCCTCCTTGAGGTAAATGCCCTTGTTCACCTTCCCTTCTACGATGTCTAAGTGAGAAGAATGGCGACATCGTCTGTTAGTGACCTCGCGAGATCGGGAGTCTACAGACGCGCCGGACATGTAACCTACAAATAAACGTACTATTCATATTTACAGTTAACTATCTCTAACGGTAGATATTACTCTGGAATATTAGAATCGGCCGTAATTAATACTCGGTTATGAGTGAATAGATTATAAACGATCTGTAAGTTGATGTGAATAGTAACTTAAATTAATAGCAATTAATAGTTATATTAATTAATATTATGCTCGTATGTAACATTGGGTTGGCCAAAAAGTCTGTTTAGTTTTTTCCATAAAATAAAAGACACGTTTTTCATTTTCACCGATAACTTGATGGACTCGGATATTTTGAGTATGTCGGCCGTCTCCCGAGGGACGGAGGAACGTTGCTCTCTCAACTGGTGCCTCAGTTGGATCGCTGCCAACCTCAGCGGCTCCACCCGACCGTGGAGCGTCGTCCAGCGAGAAACCTCCAGCACAAAACTTCACAACCGCTTGTGACGCGTTCAATCAGCCACAGCACCTCCTCCGTACCTGGCAGAAATCTTTTTTTGCGTTTCAGTTGCGTTTTTACCTTTCTTGCCATAATAAAGCATACCATGCTGAAATGTGGCTTATTTTCTCCCATCCTCAATGTTAAATGGCTGCACAAAAATTCACCAGTTTTGCTACGTTTTTTTAAGTGCACGCCGATGGGACAGCTGTCCCAGTCGCAAGCTCACAAAACCGTTTCGAATGAGGCTGACGACAGCCAGAACCGTGTCCCAGAAAAGAACCAAATGAACTTTTTGGCCAACTCAACCTGCACGGCACTGCAGTGAGGCCACAGCGGCTCTGCCTGCCGATGGCGGGGCGGCCAGGGCCGGGAGAACGGCACCGGGCGACCCGCCCTTCGGCTCCTGAGCCTCTCCCACAGCAGCCTCACGGTCACGCCCCCAGGGGAGCCCCGGGGACGGGTGTGCACAGAAAGCTACACCTGCACGCGCTCCTTTTCGGGGTCGTGACCCACAGCCCCTGACCTCTGACATGGGAACCCCTGGTTTTTAAAGAAATCCATTTTCTGACTCTCAGAGGGAGACCAGGGCCCCGTTTCGCGTCGTCCTGGGACAGCACCCGCACAACCGAGCGGCCCCGCGTGCCCGTGGGGCCCGTCCCAGAGCGAGTGCTTCTGATGGCGTGAGCGTGAAGCGACCTTTCACAGCAGCAGGTCCCAGCCTGCGTCCTGCAGGGCTTTTTGAAGCGTGCGGCACCTGACGACTGAGGCGGGGCCCGGGCCTAATTTCCCTTAGATCGTCAACTAAAAAAAACGACACCAGCCAACGCACCAGTAGTCATCCGGTGCGCGGGGATCGAAATTATTCCGGTTTCTGGCCAGGTCGGCAAACAGTACATTTTTTGGTGTGCTGCAGATTTTTAGTAATTAGTTTACGTGTGTCGTGAGATTAAAAAAGGTTGAAAATCACTGGTTTACAGACTCGAGAAGCGAGGACCATAAAAACCCTGGAGGGATCGGGCGTTTATGGCTCATGGGGTCAAAGTCCCCCGACACCCACCTGCGCCGGGGCCTGTGCCCGAACGGACAGCTAGCAGCCTCGTAACTAAACCAGGCTGTCTGCTCGGCAAGATTGATTCTGGAGGCCAATCGCCTCCCGGCTAAATGGGCCACCAGTTAAAAGAGGTTAAAGGGCGGCCCTGATCGCGGGCGGACTCCCCCGCCGGGCCGACGGTTACCACGACCCACTGCCGTCCTTCCTTCTGCTTTGAGCTGCGAAGGACGAATGGGAAGCGTGTGGGCTCTGGGGGCCCTTCCGTAAGAGGCAAATCCCACCACGGCCCCAGCGGGTGTGTGTTCTAAAACAGCTTCTCACGACTGGGGGGGAAATTCCAGCTACAGAAGAAATGCCGACGTTAATTAATGTCTGTCACAGAGCGAGCGTTTTACGAGGCATTTTAAAGTAAACTTCGACTTCTCATCAAGGGAACTTGCTTTGCCTCCCCCCACCCCCCAAAAATGCAATCCCTTTAAAAATCCAAACGATTTCTATTTTTAGACAATCTCGCGTCGTCTGTGTGGCTCCGAAAAGGAGCAGCTGGTTTGGAAGAGCCTGGTCCCTTGAGATACCGCAGACCCCTTCCCGCGCGTGGCCACCTGGGGCGCTCCCTTTTACACCTCCGAGCCTCCGGTCCAAACCCTGGGCCTTTTCTGCGCCTGCCTGTCGGTGCGCTCGCGGGCCGTGACGCAGGGAGTCCGCCCGCACCAAGCCGAACGGGCCTCCCCAGTCACCAAGGACGCTCCCCGGGCCGGCGGGGACAGTGCTCACCTACGGTCGCGGAGGCCTGGGCGTAGGCAGAGTCATTGGTGGGCACAGAAGCAGTGTTATGGGAGGGGAGCACAGTGAGGTTGTGGGCGCGCCATGCTGGGTGGGCAACGAGAGAAGAGAGCACAACACATGAGTGACACAGGACGCAGGTGCGGCCGACATATCTCTCAGCCGAGCCGCCTCGGAGGCGCCGCTCCCGTTGCGGGGCCCTCCCTGACCTTGCCGCCCGCCCTGCGGTCAGCCACGCCGTGGCTCCCACGCGCTGGCCCCTTCAGGTCACCGTGGTGGCCTCGGAACCCGGCCACAAACGTTGGTCCCCGCTAGCTGGCTCCCACTCCCTCCTGGACACTGAGTTGAGAGATATGCAGCTGGACTCGGCCACAGGACAGCTTAACAGGGGACAAATGGGATGGTGTCACAGAAACTGATGGGACAGAAACACAGCATGAAAACAATGACGTGACACGATGGCACGAGCACAGGACGACAGAGGACCCGGCGACAAACTCCAGGGCCGCCCGCGACGGTGGCCTTGCAGAGCCGCCCGCAGGCCCGGCAGCGAGCCGGGCTCACGCTTGCCCTGCCGCTCTCCTAAGCCGCTGCCGCTGCGGGGCAGGCGCCACGAGGCCAGGCCCCGCACCTCGGGCGCGGCCCCCAGCGGCAGCCAGGCCATCGGGCGTAAGCACCTCGGGACGGGCATCCACACCCTGAGACGTTCGTGGGGAACGAATGGATGCACCGGCAAGCGCAGTTCCCCCGGGGCCATGGTGTCTGAGCTGTGATGTCTCCTTATAAGAAGGATTTGGGGGGGTAAAAGTGTCCCAGGTACCAAGAGGGACTGATTGAACCACAACAATAAGCTGAGCTGGGGGGTGGGGGCAGAAACATGCAGATCATGATTTGAGCTCTTGTGTGAAATCGCTCCTTGATTTTTAGTTCCTGGGTCCTGAACAATGAGCTCCGTCAACAAGGCATTGCACTGGGCGGACCAGCCGCCTTGCACGGACTTTAGAACAGAGGCCCCGAGGGAAGAGGGTCACATTATAGCAAAGGGGAGCCATGTTGTTCAGCCCAAGGGAGTCAGGTGATAAACTTGTGCAGGCGCTTGGTTGTCCCGCGGTGCGGACCTGCGCTTTGGAGCCCGTCGGGCTGTGGGGCGGCCATCGTGGGCCACACCCCTGGCTGCCCCCCGCTCTGAGGGGCCCAGAAACTTGGGCTTCAGCGGTCACGCTCCTCGATTTGCAGATCTTAAGGAAAACATGTTAGAACATTAGGTGGCAATTTATGGAGCGCATTAAGCCACGGGGATAAGAAAAACACCAGCGTGCCGGTGTGGATGGCATAGTAATCAGCAAACGTGGTGCGGTTTTCAGTTTTGTTTTTTTTAAACCCGCTCCACCACCGGCGTAGAGTGCGTCCCAGCCGGCCCGGGCTGGCTGCACAGAAAGCCCCGCCAGACACGTCAGCCACCGACACCAGCAAGAGAGACCCAGGACGCAAATGTGAGAACGTAAACGCGTCCCAGATCACGCAAAAACGCACTTTTTAAAAAGCTCTGATTGGAATGGAAAACAGTGCTGGGCCACGGCTGGGGTTTCTCCTTCTGGCAAACGCCCGATGAGCAGACAGAGACCATTCCCTGTGGGCCTGGGGACCCCGACCACAGGAGGCGCCGGAGGCGGTGCTGCTCCTCCCCAGAGGCGCTGCCAGGACAGGGAGCCGCCAACCGGCAGGCGGCGCCCCTGTGCCCAGCGAGACGTGGCCACGCAGGCGCTTGCCTCAGCTGGCGCGGCCCGCGGCCCCTGGTTTGTTTCGGACGCGCCCGTGTGCGCCCGCCCCGTGTCCCTGGGAAATGCGCACACAGGCCCCTCCCCAGCGTAAGGCTTAAGGCAGCAGCGTCGGACGGAGGGCTGTCGGGGAAACGCCCGGCCACGTTCCAAACCGTCCGTTCTGTCCTTCCATCATGAAAGCACGTACACCTTGGAGGCTGATCTTTCGGAACGGCAGCGCCTGGGGAGGCCCGGCCACCCTGGCTTCCAAGCAGGTGCTGTTCACCTGCCCCTCCCGGGGGCCCCGGTCCCCGAGGCGCCGCCCCCGCCCCCGCGGCGTCCGGGGCCCTCACCCCCCGCGTCTACCTCCTGCTGTCTCCTGAAGTTCATGGATCCCGTCCACGTGCTCCAGCGGCCAGTAGTGGGAAGCGGTGAGCAAGACCTCAAACCCTGGGGGCAGAGAATAAGGATGAAACATTCATCATGTTGGATTGTAAACGTTTTGCAATGTCCCGCGTGGCCCTTGTGCTGTGAGCAGACGTGATTTTGTGCAGACACGGTCCTTCCCCGGGTGTTCTCCTTGCTTCGCACCCTGTCAGCTGTCGCTCTATGCACGTCCCTCCGCCCTTCCGGGGGAGTCAGTATCGGGCCGGCCCCGCTCCCTGGGGCCACTTCCCGGCCGTGGGGACCACGGCCCAGATGACTCAACACCGATCGATTGCCCTACGTGGCTGCCAGGTCACCGAAAAGGAAAAACTAATCAAGCGACCCCTCTGTTATTCACCGTAATAAAAATGTTTTAAAGAGAGGAGAGCCAGTCATTATTTTTAAATGGTGTTGCCTGATAATGAAAATGAAAAACCATTACGAACAGGAAAAGAATGTGGGGAGTGAAAACCGTTACAAACAATGAAAGAATCTGGTGAGGAGGCGGATACAGATTTCATAGGCCGATGTCAGGCAATTCCCTGTGTTCAGGCAGCCACCGAGGGGACACGCTCGCCGAGGGCTGCGTCCAGTCCAGAGAAGACACTCAGGACGGAGAGGAGGACCGCGCCAGGCTCTCGGGGAGGGCACGAGGCCGTGCCCCGGCAGCCGGGAAAGGCCCTGGGCCGACGGAGGCCTGAGTCCATCCTTGGAGGAGAAAACTCAGCGCCCTACCGGTAGCTTGTAATTGATACATCAATATCAGGAAATTTGTTGTAAAAACACTGAGAGGTTTTTTTAGGGGGGAGGGAGAGCTGATTGTGGAACTTCCGTAGGAGGATAAATAAGCAGGACAAAGGAAGGCAGTGTGTACGGGGCGGCAGAGGGTGGGGTCGGACGGCCGTCGGAAGGCAGGCGGTAGAGCCACGGTAGGCGCGGCGGGGAGCAAGGCACGGACAGGCCGGTCCCCGGGGACACACCCACAGACACCCCTAGCACCTAGGAAAACGTGGTTTGGGATCAACGCGACGTTTCAAATCAGAGACACGTCACCCGACAAAAGGGCTTCGGGCCCATTAGCCTCCGCAGGCCTCAGGCTTCGCTGTAACAACTTCCCACGGCTCAAAACTTAAATGCGCGGGGAAAACCTTGAAATGTAATAAATCAGACAAGCTTTGGGGGGAACCGGTTGTAAACGTGACTACATCCATTTTTCAAAGTCCGTACAGGACCATAAATCAAGCTGCGCCGCACTGGGGAGCGGCGTTCGCGTGCGCGGGACGGAAACGTGCGGGCCTCCCTGAGGTGTGTTGCGTTTGTTAGATGAAAAAAACCGCGATTACAAAGAAAATTTCAGCCCAAAGAACATGGGGGCAAAGGACACACACGGGCATTTCAAAGAAAAAGCAAGGTGAATTATTTCTAAATGTGTGAAAAGACTCTGGGACTCGCGCGTGGTGGGGCTAGAAAGCGTCTGGACAGACAGCGGAGCCGGCCTCTCCTGGGCGGGCGAGCAAAGAAAGCGCAGCTGCGCCGAGGGAGCACGTTCTGCCCTCGGCGGCGCGCGCTCACCCCGGCCAGCTTTCCCGGAGAGCGACAGGCAGTATCTGCGCAAGCTTTACGCACACATTCCCTCTGACCTAGTGATCCCACTCCTGGGAGTTTACTCTCGGGATAAACGCGCACCCATGATCAAAGGCCTCTGTCCAGTGGTGTGCGTCGCGGGTTTGCAGCATGGGTATCAATGTGCTGCAGAGGGCTCTGGCCTCTGTGCTCCTCGGGGCGGGCGGGGGGGAGTCGGGGGGGTCAGGGAAGGCGGGAAGGGTGCTGGCTGCACAGCGCGGAGCAGCTACGCAGTGGACGCTGTGTGGTTTGCAGGAAGGGTGAGGCAGGTGGTAGCAGTCAGGGTCCGGCACACAGAACGTCCCTTTTTATTACAAAATCTTCTGCTACCAAATCAGAAGCATGTCATTCTGTAACAGAGCAATGTCACACTCAAGCACACCGTAGGCCATCTTAGGTGACATGTTCACACTAAAACTACAAATCATTACACCTGTATTATTACCCTACCAACCACACTGAAGCAGGCATTACTTCTGCCGGACCCTGTAGAATGTTCTTTGAGTCATGCTGTTAAGTTTAAAGAGCCCAGGCGAGCCCCGGCCGGGCAGCTCTGTTAGTTGGAGCGCCGTCCGGATGAGCCAAGGCTGCGGGTTTGATCCCCAGTCCAGGGCACACACGGGAATTGACCGCTGATGCAGAGATGAGTGGAACAACAGATGGATGTTTCTTTCTCCCCCTCCTACCTCCTCCCTCTCTCTCCAAAATCAATCAATAAAAAAATTTTTTTTTAACGTTAAGGTGAGAAGAACGTGTGTGGTATGAGCTATTGTGCTAAGCTAAGCTGTTCAGGGGGTGGAGGGGAAGAAAGGGAGAGAGAGAGAGGTTGGCTGGACGCCCCAGAAACAAGCAACGGGGTTCTGGGGCGCAGAAGGCTGGGGCCCTGGGAGTGAGACGCGAGCTTTCGGGTTCAGCATCGTTCTGTTCTACTTGAGTGCTGGGACCCGTATTTATTTTGAAAGTATTTTAAGACTGCGTTACAATTAGAGCAACCCATGGGTGATGCCCATCCTGAACCTTCGGATGGAAACTGAAGTGCCCGTCCCGCCGCCGCGCGTGCACATGGAACGTCTGAGTTTCTGTCTGCGGGGCGTCAAACACCGGCACTCGGCCGGCCACCGCGTCCTCCTGGTCAGTTTGCCCCGCGAGGCTGGGCTCCCCAACCTGCTCTGCGTCCGAAACACCAGCCAAGAGCAGAATTAGTCCTCTAAGAGGGGCTAAAGAGGAGCCACTCCACCTCCGACTCCCGGGCGTGTGCCGGGCGACGCGGGACCGGGGCCGGCGCGACCCGGACGCGGAGCTCGCCTGGTCACACAGTGGCGGGCGCCTGGAAGGAGAAAGTCAGGAACACCCGCCCCCCTTCCTACGACGCCTTTCTTTCCTGAAGTCCAGGCCCCTCCTTGGGTAGGGCGGGAAGCGGCCCTGGCTTGTTATTCAATTCATCAGGGAGACGTCAGGAAAGGACGGAACATCTGCTGTACAAGGAACAGATGTTGTCTTCAGGATCCTCATCTCCATGAAATAGGCCCCACGGGCCAGCCCTGTCCACCTACAGAGGGGCCGGGAGGGGAGGGCTGCTGCCGGCCCCACAGAAGGACGCCCCCCACATCCGGCTGCCCAGGGCCCCGCGGAACAAGCGGGCGCACAAACACAGCAAGGCCCTCTGTGTGGTTCTGCTGCCCCCCAGCTCGCTCCCTGCTGAATTGCCATTTGATCACAAACACTTGTATTTTCGACCAGGGAGACACAGAATGAAGCTTCCGCCCTGAGCCGGGGCTTCGGACGGCCTCTGCGACCCACGGACGTGATGTTGGCGATGAAGCCCCAGACGGGCCGAGGCGGAGGCTCCACAGCAAACACGGGTATCGAGTTGCTGTGCTGTGCACCTGCAGCACCGCCCGCCGACCGTATCTCCATTTAGAAAACAAAAATAGGTAAAGAGAACAGACTATTCTCACAGAGAGGAAACCACCACCGAGAAAACAGAGGGAGTCGTAATTGCCGTAATAACAGGCTTCGGCTTCCTCGGCCTCCGAATGGGCCGGGGAGGCGAGGTGAGCCGCCGGCCTCCTGGGAGCGAGCCGCAGCCGGCGCTGCGGGCGCCCAGGGCTGGGGAGCTTCTGGGACCCTGGCAGGGACCCACCGGGGCGTCCATCTGAGAGCGCGTGTTTGTAAGCCACTTAGGGGCGACCTGCTACCTCCAGGCTGTGCCACTGATCGACTCAGTTTCCTCGAGCCTCCCAGCTCCCTAGTGTTGCCGGAGGGACGGAGCAAGACGCCGGGCCGCCAGGGGCCCGCGGGGGGGTGGGTCCTGGCTTCCCCTCCGGGCCTCGCCCTCCGGCGGGAGGGGTGTGATTTCTCTGAGGCGGCACTGTGCGGCCACAGGGAGACACGGGCAATGCCAAGGCGCAGCACAATTCGAAGTCGCTTTTCCATTATTTACCAAACGGAACCCCTGTCGACCTGGCAGAGGCGAAGGCCTGCGCGCGGCTCGCTCCCTGTGCTGGCGCTGGCGCCCAAGCCACACAACCCAGCCCGAACGTGCCTGGGGTGGAAGGGCCTGGCTGTCGGAGGCCCGGGATACTGGGCGACCAGCCAGCCTTTAAGTGACCGTGCAGAGCCTTGCCCGCAGGTATTTCCCGAGCATCTGCCTCATCTGCCACGTGTAAGGCCCTGAGCCAGGTGCCGGCCCGTCAGAGAGAAGCCTGGAGGGGTTGTGGCGAACAGGGGGCCGCTGGCCCGCGTGGGGCGCCGACGCCCAGCACACCTGCCCACGCGGCTGGTGCGGAGGGAGGGGCCAGGGCGCGTGCTCGCTCCTGTGCGCGGGGCTGGGCGAGCCATTGGCCCCCGAGCCACCGGAAGCTGCTTTCCCTGCCCGCGTCACGGCTGCGGACAGGGCGCGGGCCCGCGCTCTCCGCTCTCACACTTTTCCAACGGGAGACTGAACGAGAACGTGCAGGTGGGAGGCAGGCGGCCACACCTCTACCACACCCACGAGCCGATAAGCCGGGCCGAGCAACGGGCAGGACGTCCCAGCTCGGGCCGCGTCACCACACAAAGGAGACAGGGGTCCCACCCGGGTCTGACTCACCCCGCTAGGTCCCCGTGCGCCCATCCCTGGCAGAGCTCTGTCCAAGGACCTGGCTTGGTCCCCGGGCAGGGCTGGGCGGGTTGCCCCCGGTTGGCCATTAAAGGCCAGTCCCCGAGGTGGCAGGATGGCTCGTGGGAGTCAGTGGGGGACCCTGCTCGGCCCCCTGCAGCTGTGAGACACAGGCCTGCCCCCAGGTCTGGGCTGTGCTCACGGCTTCCCAGCAAGGGTCTGGGGACACTATGCGGGGTCCCTCTGCGCCACGTACACGCCGACCAGGGAGAAAACGGGGCACAGTGCCTGCAGAGCGAGTCCTGGCCACCCACACGGGCCTGTGCCCCTGCAGCTGCGTGGGTGGTCCCCCCCACTTTCAGCGACAGCGTGAGTGCCTCCTCCGTCCACCCCCCCAGAAAAGCCTCGCTGTGACGCTTCTAGACCGAGGACCCCCACAGCCAAGGACAAGGGCCTGGCGGCCGGGCTTGGGGTCCCCCGGCTGCTCTGTGGCCTCAGTGGGGCAGGACCCAGGGCGGTGACCGAGGGGTGAGGCAGTGCCGTGAGGCTGAAGGACTGAGACCTTAAGTCGCCTGAGTAGGTCTGACCGGGCACACGACGTGAGAGAGACAGACCGTGTCCTGAGGGAGAACGCTCACAGTTCCCTGGTCACAAGGTTTCGAGTGACCTGCCTCTCCAGCCACAGCTCGGGGACACAGAGTCAGACATCGAGGACGAGCAGAGAGCCCAGCACCGCAGGCGGCTGGCTGGGCCGGCAGAGCCCGCGCGGGCCGCCCTGGACGGCATCACAGACAGACAGACAGGCCGACAGACAGGGCGAGGCAGGGCGAGGCGGCCGCGCGCTGAGCGAGGCAGGAGCCCCCTTACCTGGATGGGCCTGTGACCTGCCGAGGGCCGGATGCACCTGCACACAAAACACCGCCGCGTTAGACTCGGGACTGCCCAGAGAGCCCGGCCCCGCCACGGCGTCCCCGCCTGGGGACATTACCTGAAAATTGCAGTGAAGTAACAGCAGCCAGGGGGGCCAGCAGCCACGCAGCAGCCTCCTCATGGCGTGTCTGAGGTTAACCGGGAGCCACCTGGAGTTCCTGGCGGCGGGTGACAAAGTATCCTCTTTAACTTTCACTTCCTTGGGAGAGGGACATTTTCACAGGTTCTGGAAAGAAAAAACGCCTGTTTCCCTACAGCTTGGGGCAGGCAGCAGGCTCAGAGAGTTAGCTGTGTTCTGTCCTCGTCTGCAGTCTCGAGAGCCTCCAGCGATCAATAAACACGTCGCTGCGAGCGGAGCATCTGTGGAATGCGGGACAGCCAGCCCCAGACGTCCCGGACCAGCCGTCCCAAACGCAGGGCAGCTCGCCCAGGGCAGCTCGGCCGGCGGTCACGGCTGCCCCAGCCAACAGCCCTTGTTCATCCCCGTCCAGGCGGGGAGGTGGCTGGTTCTCCTTCCCTGGTGTCCGGGGACCGAGAGGGCTGCTAAAGGAACTTTGTCCCCGAGCCGCGGCCAAGTCCTCCGGGGCTGCCTCGGGCGTCCGCCTCTCATCCCCGCTCTGGGTGGGGAGAGGCGGTGATGTCAGGCTCGCTGCTCAAACTTTGCTCGGCTCCGTCCTCTATTTATACCCCGGCGGCCCTGCCCTTCCTGGGTCCTAGCTCCAGCCTCTTCCGAGCAGCCGGACGGCCTGCGTGCGGCCCGGCGCTGCCGTCGCGTTGGTGACCCCCGAGTCACCGTCAGTGTCAAAACACACACAGGACAGGAACCGTAAACTCCGTTCAGAGCTGAGTCCCGTTTGCCCAAAGGAAGGAGGAGGGTGACTCACGGGGGTGCGGAGGGAGACGGGCCCCACGCGCCGCCGCATTTTTCCCTTTAACCCTTTCCGAGGAGAGTGGAGGCCACGGGCCCCTTCACAGGGGACTCTGTGCCGCGGCCCCAGACCCCAGCGCCCCCACAGCGTCCGGGACAGGCCTCCCAACAGGGCGCCACTCAGGCCCTGAGCCAGCCAGCGCCTCAGTTTGCTCACGACGAACGTGCGCCTGACCTTGTCCGAACACGAGGACACGCATGCGCACACGGCTGCCGCCATGGGCACGGCGGCTCGGGATGGGGCTGACCCCCGCGCCCCTGCACTGTGTCCAGCGCCCACTAGCGCTGTGCTCTTAGGCCGGTCGCAGCGTCTCTGTGTCACAGCGTGTCTGTAAAATGGGCTCCTCCTCCGCAGGGCTGGGGTGACGGTACACGCAAGGCTCTCGGAGCGGAGCTTGGGAGAAGCGTGATGCTCCGTAAACGCTCGGTACTGTGTGCAGAGCTCAACTATCGCTCAGTAAGCGTCAGCCCTCAGGGAAGTGGCGAAGGAGAAGCTAATGCCCGTTACATGTCAGCTGACGGGGCCTCCTCGGTCCCGACTCTAAATGGGGGTCACGTCCTGCGCCCGAGGAGCCTTTGTAGGGAGGGCGTGAAACCACTGCCGGTCCCCACGAGGGAGGCGACAGCGATGTGCAAACGCAGGCGATTCTTTTCCGCTCTCGCCTGCAGCCCAGGACCCGCCGGGGCATCTGAGGCCCTGGACCGCCCCGCGAGGCTGCGGCAGGCACCGGACCGTCTCCGGGAACAGTTATCTCGGGCGCTGAGATACCGGGAACTCTAATTACACAGCCCTGCTCACGCCGACCTTTATCCTGTTGCTTAGGCGGGACCCAGTGTGGGGAAAACCCAAGTCACAGCCTCGCTTTGGTCTCGTCAGTTTTCGGGCCTCCAGCTGCTGCAGGGAAGAAAGTGAGAGCGGATTCGGGGGAAGGGGAGTGAGCCCCCCCCCGCCCCCCCCGCGCCAGACCCTTCTCCGGGACCCCGGCGGGGACTCAGCAGGGGGATGCAGGCAGTGGGAGCTGCTGCCAGCCTCTCAGTGACACACGCGGGGAAGCGAATGGCCTCCACTGTGCCCAGGCAGGACGCCAACCTTGACCTTTCTCCTCAAGAGCGAAGTGCTTAAGTCGCTGGGAGGAGGCCTCCGCCCCCTGGCCCAGGGCACAGGGCGAGGGCCTCTGCCACTGAGAAGGCAGAACCCCTGTCCCAGAGGAGGGGCAGAAAGATCTCCATGTACCAGGACAGGGGCAGAGCCGCGGAGAAAGTCCGCCCGAGACACAGGGACAGGGGACACGGGCCGCCTAGGACCGAAGCTGGCCAGGAAAACAGACTTCCCACTCTCCCGACTTCCGGGCCAGAAAGAATCCGTGTCCCGGTAGCGGGAGAGAGGCGTGCGCAGGGACGTCTGAGCACGAGAGCCCGAGGCAGAAGCCAGGCAGGACACGGGGGTGCCCCCGCCCGGCCCGGGGGCCACCAGCCCTGGGCCCTGCCCCCGGGGCAGGTCCCAGCTGCGCGAAGGGGCCACGGCAACAGGATCCCCATCCCCCGCCGCACACCTGCCAGACTGACCCGACGCGCAGTCAGGAGGCACGGGCACACACCCACGTGTAGGCACGCGCGCGGCAGGCTCACGCGCACGGGCGCCCCCCGCCCCCACGGCCCGGCGGAGAAGCGCGGCGCCCGTCGCCAGCGCGGACGCCCTGGCCCTGGCCCCCGACACAGGACGCCCAGCGTTCCTTCCCAGATTGTGACCAAACAGCAAAGACAACCAACCCGCCATCAAGAGACACAGCAACAGCCACCCCCGCCCCCCGCCAGCCAGGGAACGCTCCGCGCTCGGGGGCAAGAAGGCAACACTCCCAGACCCGTGGGGGAGTCGTGCCGAGAGGCGGGGGTGACGTGGAGGAGGATCCCTTTCCAGAGGAAGTGCTGTCACCAAGAATAAGATGAGCAGCGGCTCAGCCGCCCCTCAGGGCGCCCCCCGCAGACGTGCCCTGGGCAGGGCAGGAGGCCCTGAGCCTCGCGGGGCGATTAGAGGCAGCCGCGCTGGAGCACACAGGGAAAAGGGAAAGAAATTTTTTTCTAAAAAATGGAGCAGAAGGAGCAGTGTCACAATATCAAATAATCTAACACATGTGTGATTGAAATTCCAGACACAGAAGTGAGAAAATGAGGCAAAAAAAATGCTCGAAGGGAGAATGGCCAGGAATGTTCAAAAATAAAGAAATAAGTTCAGCCACAGGCCCCAGCACCTCTAAAAACGCCGAGCAGGATAAACAGCCAGCGCACCTGGCACGCCGCACGCACACCGCACGCCACACACCGCACAACACACCCTCACGCAGCACACGCACCTCACACACACACACACAGCACAGTGCACGCTCTTCAGCCAACACACCACACACAGACACCCTCGCACACCACGCAGCACACACATCGCATACAAACACACACCCTCACACAGCACACCCCCGCCCGGCACCTGGACCCACGGTCATCACACTGCTAAAAATCAGACCTAACCGAGAGGTCACAGGCAGCCAGAGGAAAATGCATGTGGCATGCAGAGGACAAAGACCAGAGTGGCGGGGGCCTCCCCAGGAGCCGGGAGAGCCCGAGGCCAACGCAGAGACACACAGCTGCCTGCGGCAGAGACGGGGGGGCCGGGGCGCGTCTGGGGACCAGCCCCCCCAGGGCCGGCGGTGGGCGGTGGGCGGGGCCCTTGCCCCGGTGCTGAGGCCCTTCTGGGCAGGAGGAGGCGGCTCAGAAATGAGATTGCGTGATGCTTTTAAAAAAATCACCGACTCTGACTTGGTCAAGATGGCAGCATAGGTGGCACGGCGCGCCTCCTCACACAGCCACATCAAGAGCACAACTAAAGTGTAGAACCACCATCACTCGGGACCGGCAGAAATCGAGTTGAATGGAAGTCTGACAGCTATGGAATTAAAGAAACCACGTCCATCCAGACCGGTAGGAGGGGCGCAGACGCGGAACCGGCTGGTCCCTCACCCACCTGGATAAAAATTCATGGAGGGACGTCTCAGAGCAAGGAATCCCGGCCCCTCCCCACGTCCCCCAGCCCAGGACGATAAGTCCCCACAACTTCTGGCTGCAAAACCCAGCAGGGACTGAGTCGGTGGAAGAAACTCTGGAGTCCCAAGCAGTTCCTCTTAAAGAATCCACACACGGACTTACTCGGACTCACTCCCTCTGCGCTCCAGCGCCGGGGTGGCAGCTCGGAAGGCACCGGTGGCATAAAGGGAGGAGCTGAGGTGTCTGGCATCAATGTGAGCAGAGACCATTGTCCCTTTTCTGCACACCCCCCCATCCCCCGCCATTCAGCTGGCAGGCTGCTGCCGTATCTGAGACTCCATCACCCTGGCTCACCCTGTGTGTCCAGCCCTGGAGATCCCCTGAGACTCCGGCCCATCCCATTTACAGCTGCTAACAGAGGCTTTTCCATATGAATGGCGGTCTTGGCTCAAGCTTCACAACTTCCTAAATCCTGTCCGACAAGCAGCAGCCGGCCTCAGCGAGCCCTCCGCCCCCGTACTTCTTGCTGTGTGGCCCCAGGCCTGGCACTAGCCGCAGCAGCCTAAAGTCACAGCTTGGCTTCACCTGGGAATCTCCAAGCCCAGGACAAGTAACAACCTTCTCAGAATGCTCTATAGCTCAGGCAGGGTGGCCCCGGGCAGAACACAGGTGTGGGCTGACCTTGGCCTGCGCCACCCGGAAACCCCAGGGGCAGTGCAGCCAGCGGACAGCTACCGACCACGTCGGAGCACCGCCACCCTGCCCCCGCACAGCTGGTCCTCCACGGAGGGCGGAGGTTGGTGGTCAGTGGTCACAGGCTGACTGGCCTGGGCAAATCCCTCCCCCTGACCTGCCAACAGCAACCAAGGCTCAAGTACAAAATGAGGGTGTACTCGGCCCACAGGAAGGGCAAACCTCGAGTACCCAGCTTGGGGGATGGGGAGGCTGTGCCACTGGACCCTTCAGGACACCCACTGCATGAGGCCACGCTACCAAGACACAGAGTCATAGCAGCTCTACCTAATACATAGAAACAAACACAGGGAGGCTGCCAAAAGGAGAAGGCAAAGAAACATGGCCCAAATGAAAGGACAGATCAAAATTCTAAACAAAGACCTAAACGAAGTGGAGATAAATCTATGATGATAGATTTATCAGACGCAGAGTTCAAAACACTGGTTACAAGGAGGCTCAAGGAGCTCAGCACGGACCTCAGCAGCGTGAAGATGACCCTGTCAGAAATGAAGGAAACGCTAACTGAAATAAAGAATAATTTATAGGGAAGCAACAGTAGAGTGGATGAAGCCGAGAATCAAGTCAATGATTTGGAACATAAGGAAGCAAAAAACAATCAGAAAGACAAGAAGAAAGAATCCAAAAAATGAGGACAATGTAAGCAGCCTCTGGGACGACTTCAAGAGGTCGAACGTGCGCATCGCAGGGGTGCCAGAGGAGATTAGAAAGAGAAGGGAACTGGGACTCTCTCTGAAAAAATAATGAAAGAAAACTTCCCTAATTTGGTGAAGGAAAGAGACATGCAAGTCCAGGAAGCACAGAGAGTTCCAAACAAGACGGATGCAAACAGGCCCACTCCAAAGAGAAAAAAAATCGCTGAACCTCACACTGTGAAAAGGCAAATTTTACAGTGTGTGAATGATATCTCAATAAAAAAGAAAGAGAAACACCTTTTCAGACGAACACTAATTGGGAGAACCCGTTACCACCGAACCGGCACAGGACACGCGACTGCTCCTCCTGTAGAAGGGGACGCACGAGACAGAAACCTGGGCGCACACAGAGAAGCCAAGACGCCCCGAAATGGCTACCACTCAGGAAAATAGGAAAGACATTTCCTCTTAGTTTTAATTGCTATAGAAATAACATTGTTTAATAAGCAGGAGATCGTGCTGCGGGCGGATAGCACATGTCTGTGAAGTGGAAACGCAGGAGAAGAGCCCGAGCGGCGCGGGGAACGGAGGGCCCGTGTGGCGTGTGGCGTGTGGCGTGCGGGCCCCGCGCCCGCCGGGGTGGG